TGTAGGATGTGAGGTGTGAGTGGGTGTAAGATGTGAGGTGTGAGTGTGGGTGTGGGGTGGGCCTTCTCTTCATTGGCAACCCACACCCACACACCCACACACCCAGACACCCACACCCAGACACCCACACCCACACACCCACACCCACACCCCATATCTGAACAAAATTATAATGATTTTTGAAAGAAAAATAGATGTTTGTATTCTTGATTATAAATGAGTTTTGACAAAAAGCTTCTCGATGCCATTTATCAAAGTTAATTTTCACTGGCTTGTTGAGTTAGATTATTGTTGTTTGTCACTTGTTGTGCTTCTTGTTCAAGAAAAGCTTGTTTTTCGAGTTCTTGTCGCAATATTTCGACTGCTCGGAGAGCTGCTTCTCGATCACCTTCGTCAGCAGCATTATGCATGCTATTCGCTATTGCTTCTATGTTTGCGGTGTTGTCGACCATTTTCCACCAGTTAAAAGAAGTGAAGCTGTTCAAGTCAATATAGAGAAATATTTAGTTATGCAACCAAATAATAACTTACTGTATTCGATTGGAATCTTTGTATACTATGTGATACGATTTCGTTTAAGTTACCTTTTATTTATATATAAGGTCGACGCCTATCTGTAAGAACGTGATGCTTTAGTTATTCGTGTAATCACTAAAGATTATTGAATGAAACTTGGAACCTTCCAAGATATTAATTTTAGAAATTACTTTCTGAGAAACGATACACTTTCGCAAAAGAATCAAATAATAGTATAGAAAAGTAAATTTATTGTTTTTCATGGTAAGTATATGGTCGTACACGTTTGGCATGATGACTCATGAATATGACGGAGAACTATAACATGGGAACAGAGAAGAAAACAGATCCTTTGCAGGACTCAAAATAGACATATCGGCATCACGTCAGAAGAAGCACTTCATCTTCGTTTTATGGATATAATAAGACTTTCGATTTTAACCGATCGCATTATTTCACTAATACTAAATTTTTTAATGTATGAGTTTCTGTTACATTATTTAGTATTTGCTTTCATTCTATCGTGCATGAATTTGAAATAAACAGGAATCTATAATATTCGTCTATCAAAATATTTTGTAATACTTTATAACGGTTAATTTAATATGCGACTTTAGTCACAAAATAGTTCCGATTTTATAGCAATTTTTTTAGATGCTATAGACCAAAAAAGAACGTTTAAAAATATAAATTCAAATGAAAAGTTTTTTCGATCGATCAACAATAATGGTTCATTGTCTGTAAATGTTCATGGAACTTGAAAAATACATGTCATAAGTGTTGAGTTTTAATTTAATCTTAGATGATATCAATCTATAAAAAAAAACATTTGTTTAAGAGTAAAGAACATATTAAAATATTTTGCCTTGTTTTCATCAAGCTACTTGACATGTCTAACTGATTAAAACAAGAAGAGTCATCTTTTCACTAGAATAATCTCAAGAACTAGTAATTAAAAAAGTCTTTTAATTCTATATTACATATCTACAGAGCTTTTATTTGAAATTACGGCAAACACTCAAGTAGAAATTGAAATAGTGAAGCCTCTTACAATCTATAATAAGAAGCCATTCAGTTCATGCTAGTAAATTTCACTATTGATAAATACAATATCGTAGGAATTTCGTTATTCATTTGAATATGTACAGTGTATGATATAAGCGTTGTGTTTTCTTTTTACTTTTTGGATGAAAAACAAGAGGAAGCTCATCAATACTTTTTATGTTTGTATAGAATCATTTCGGAAGGTAAAGATCAAAACGAACGTCGCAAAACATTTTCCAACTGATTCTTTGGCGTATTTGAAAATCCTTCTCCTTCCTTACACGGCTGCTAGGAAGTATTATAATCGAATGAGAAAAAGAATGGAGCAAATGATAAGTGTCACAGAACAAATATTTATCTTTTTAGTTCCTCTAAACCCATAAGGAACTAAAACGCTTAGTCCTTATTCAGGTCATACATTTTTTACAACTACTGTCTATGTTTGCGGCTGTAATAAGAACGAACGGATTCTTTTAGACTAACGGCAAATACTAACGATATAACGAACATTGTACCGAATGGTCTGCACATGATATTCTATGCTTCAAATCACACGGATAATATACAACAAGTGGAATATGAAAACTGACAAAAAATATTTATGAATATTTTTTTGTTAGATAAGGCTTAAAACAACGAAGAATATTAGGGTGTGGGTGTCGGTGGGTGTGGGTGTGTGGGTGTGAGAGTGTGGGTGTCGGTGGGTGTGGGTGTGTGGGTGTGGGTGTGGGTGTGGGG